CCCAGGCTGCCGGGTGAACTGTGGCGCGGAGTCTCGTTTGAATTCTTTAGAGCGATGGTACTGGAGAGCTGGCAGTCGGCCTCCTTCGTGTAGGTGCCACAGCCGAGCACTACAGTGGCAGCCGCTTTGTCTGTTTCATCGTGACCTGGCAGCGAGGGATCAGGATCAGGACAGCTGGCCTCCCAGCCCTGGAGAGCTTGTGGTGAGTGTGATGCTTAAAGACTTCACAATCTATGCAATGGCCAACTTTGTGACTTCAACTACAGTGGAGTCTCTGGGCAGATGGTTCTTTTTTCTTAAGACAGTGACAGTTGTCTGGGGGGGGGGGGGGGGGGGGGGTTTTCTGTAAGCGAGAATAGGCCTTTTCCCCCAAAGCCTCTGAGAGTGAGGGGTCCTTTTTCAAGATAGGTCTTGTGAGCCCCTAACGACCCTGTTCATCCTATGCCTACAGAGGTGCCAAGTGACTTTTTCACCTTGAATGGTCTCTTACGACAATGATTCTCAACTAGGGATGTGCCAAGGTCTCCCAGGGATTATATTACTGCATCAAGAACATAAGAACAGACAGACTGAGTCCAACCAAGGGTCCATATAGCCCAGTGTCCTGTCGGCCGACAGTAGCCAATGCCAGATGCCCCAGAGGGCAGTGAACAGAACATGTATTTTTCAAGTACTCCCTTTCCCATCACCCATGACAGAGGCTAGGGCCACCACGATTCCTACCCATCCTGGCTAATGACTCCTTTTCCCATCACCTATGACAGAGGCTAGGGCCACCACGATTCCTACCCATCCTGGCTAATAGCCATTGATGCACCTAACTTCCATGAATTTATCTCGCTCTTTACTGAACCCCATTAAAGTCCTGCTCTTCACAACCTCCTCTGGCAAGGAGTTCCACATGCGCTGTGTTAAGAAAAACTTCCTGCTGTTTGTTTTAAACCTGCTACCTGTTAGTTTCATTTGGTGACCCCCTAGTTCTTCTGTTATTTGCCTGGTTTTACAACATGCTACATAAAAAGCACTAGTGAAGTCAATATGAAGTAAAATTTCATTTGGACAATGACTTGTTTGCACTGATCTATATTCTATACACTGAAATTAAGTACAATATTTATATTCCAAGTAATTTATTTTATAATTAAACAGTAAAAAGGAAGCAATGTTTCAATAAGGGCTGAGGAGGGCTTTAAACTAGGTTCGACGGGGACTGGTGAGCAAAGCCCACAGGTAAGTGCTGAATGTGCGGGACTGGGAGATGGGTTGGAAATGGGGGGGACTACGGCCTATAATGGCAAGGAGAAAGGAGGGTCAGGGCACAACAGGGAGGCAAGATCAAATCAGTATCTTAGATGCCTATATACAAATGCAAGAAGTATGGGTAATAAGCAGGAAGAACTGGAATTGCTAACCAATAAATACAACTATGATATCATTGGTATTACAGAAACCTGGTGGGATGGGACACATGATTGGAATGTTGGTATGGAAGGGTATGGCTTGCTCAGGAAGGACAGACAGGGGAAAAAGGGAGGAGGAGTTGCCTTGTATATTAAAAATGTACACACTTGGACTGAAGTGGAGATGAACGTAGGAGATAGCTGTGTAGAGAGTCTCTGGGTTAAGCTAAAAGGGGTAAAAAACGAGGGTGATATCATGCTAGGAGTGTACTACAGGCCACCTAGCCAGGTGGAAGAGGTGGATGAGGCCTTTTTTAAACAATTAACAAAACTATCCAAAGCCCAAGATTTGGTGGTGATGGGGGACTTCAACTATCCAGACATATGTTGGGAAACTAACACAGCGGGGCACAGGCTATCCAATAAGTTTCTGGACTGCATTGGAGACAACTTTCTGTTTCAGAAGGTTGAAAAAGCTACCAGAGGAGAAGCTGTTCTGGATTTGGTTTTAACAAATAGGGAGGAACTAGTTGAGAACTTGAAAGTGGAAGACAGTATAGGGGACAGTGATCACGAAATAATAGAGTTCATGCTTTTAAGGAAAGGTAGAAGGGAGACCAGCACAATTGAGGTAATGGATTTCAGGAAGGCAGATTTTGATAAGCTCAGAGAACTTGTAGGTAAGGTCCCATGGAAAGCAAGACTGAAGGGAAAAACAACTGAGGAAAGTTGGAAGTATTTCAAAGGGACGTTGTTAAGGGCCCAAAAGCAAACAATTCCGCTGTGTAGGAAAGATAGAAAATATGGCAAAAGACCAGCTTGGCTTAACAAGGAGATCTTGCTTGATCTCAAAATAAAAAAGGAGTCGTATAAAAAATGGAAACTAGGACAAATAACAAAGGATGAATATAGGCAAGCAACACGGGAATGCAGGGGCAAGATTAGAAAGGCAAAGGCACAAAATGAGATCAAACTAGCTACAGGCATAAAGGGAAACAAGAAGACCGTTTATAAATACATTAAAAGCAAGAGGAAGACCAAGGACAGGGTAGGCCCACTGCTTAGTGAGGAGGGAGAAGCAGTAACAGGAAACTTGGAAATGGCAGAGATGCTCAATGACTTCTTTGTTTCGGTCTTCACCGAGAAGTCTGGAGGTGTGCCTAACGTAGTGAATACAAGCAGAGAGAGGGTAAGTTTAGAAGATAGGATACACAAAGAACAAGTTAAAAATCACTTAGGAAAGTTAGATGTCAGCAAGTCACCAGGTCCTGATGAAATGCAGCCCAGGATACTCAAGGAGCTGATAGAGGAGGTATCTGAGCCTTTAGCTATGATTTTTGAAAAATCATGGCAGACAGGGGAGATTCCAGAAGACTGGAAAAGGGCAAATATTGTGCCCATCTATAAAAAGGGGAATAAGAACAACCCAGGAAACTATAGACCGGTCAGTTTAACGTCTGTCCCAGGGAAGATAATGGAGCAGGTAATTAAGGAAATCATATGCAAACACTTGGAAGGTAATAAAGTGATAGGGAATAGCCAGCATGGGTTTGTGAAGAACAAGTCATGCCAAACTAATCTGATAGCTTTCTTTGATAGGATAACGAGCCTTGTGGATAAGGGAGAAGCGGTGGATGTCATATACTTAGACTTTAGTAAGGCATTTGATACGGTCTCGCATGATATTCTTATTGATAAACTAGGCAAATATAACTTAGATAGGGCCACGATAAGGTGGGTGCATAATTGGTTGGATAACCGTAGTCAGAGAGTTGTTGTTAACGGTTCTAAATCCTGCTGGAAAGGGATAACAAGTGGAGTTCCTCAAGGGTCTGTTTTGGGCCCCGTACTGTTCAATATCTTCATCAATGATGTAGATATTGGGATAGAGAGTACGCTTATTAAGTTTGCAGATGATACCAAACTGGGTGGGGTTGCGACTTCTTTGGAGGATAGGGACATAATTCAAAATGACCTTAGCAAGTTAGAGAAATGGTCAGAGGTAAACAGGATGAGGTTTAATAAAGAGAAATGCAAAGTGCTCCACTTAGGAAGGAACAATCAGTTCCATACATACAAGATGGGAAGTGACTGTCTAGGAAGGAGCATGGCGGAAAGGGATCTAGGGGTCATAGTGGACCACAAGTTGAATATGAGTCAATAGTGTGATGCTGTTGCAAAAAAAGCAAATATGATTCTAGGTTGTATCAACAGGTGTGTTGTAAGCAAAACTCGTGAAGTCATTCTGCCGCTCTACTCTGTGCTAGTTAGGCCTCAGCTGGAGTACTGTGTCCAGTTCTGGGCGCCGCATTTCAAGAAAGATGTGGAGAAATTGGAAAGGGTACAGAGAAGAGCGACAAGAATGATTAAAGGTCTAGAGCACATGACCTATGAAGCCAGGCTTCATGAACTGGGCTTGTTTAGTTTGGAAAAAAGAAGATTAAGGGGGGACATGATAGCGGTTTTCAAATATCTAAAAGGGTGTCACAAGGAGGAAGGAGAAAATTTGTTCCTCTTGGTTTCTGAGGACAGGACAAGGAGTAATGGGCTTAAAGTGCAGCAGAGGAGGTTTAGATTGGACATTAGGAAAAAATTCCTGTCAGGGTGGTCAAATATTGGAATAAATTGCCAAGGAAGGTGGTGGAATCTCCCTCTCTGGAGATATTTAAGAACAGGTTAGATAGACATCTGTCAGGGATGGTGTAGACGGAGCTTGGTCCTGCCTTGAGGGCGGGGGGCTGGACTCGATGACCTCTTGAGGTCTCTTCCAGTCCTATTATTCTATGATTCTATGAATAATAGCGTATAAATTAATAATAATGCTCACACTTTTATTTCTGTCTGATTTTGTAAGCAAGTAGATTTTAAGGGAGGTGAAACTTGGCGTGTGCAAGACAAATCAGACTCCTGAAGGAGGTACAGTAGTCTGGAAAGGTTGAGTGTCATGGTCTTATAATCTATGTTCACTTCTTATGCTAAACAATCTGTTCCACCTTGTATTTAGCGGTGACAGCAGGAGTGCATTTCCCAGACCTGTAGTAGAGGCTTGTATCTCTCATCCTCTAGTAATACTTTAAGGTTTCATTTTCTATTTACCTTGCATTTCTAATCCAACTCTAATACATATTTACTCTCTTTCTGAAACAAACAACGAAGATGATCTACGTTTTCTTCCTTCTAACATTCGCTGCCTGCTCGTCTGAAGTAGGCAAATGCTCTTCTCTCCCTTTGCAGCCTAGTTTAAGGCAGTTTTTCTGTATACAAAATGTGTGGGATTACTGAATGTAAGGCATCAGAGGGGTAGCTGTGTTAGTCTGTAACTGGAAAAAACGTAAACAACGAATAGTCCAGGAGCACCTTAGAGACTAACAAAACATGTAGATGGTATTAAGAGCTTTCGTGGGAACAGCCCACTTCTTCAGATGACTGGAGTTATTAATAGTCTAGTTGCTAAATAAATAGCAGATGGGGAGAGAGGGAGGGGGAAGAGAAGGGAAAAGAATCGTCAATTAGAGTAGCATGTCAGCACCTACCCTTCTTGTAATTGCTCATTTCCAGATTCTTCAGCAACAAGGAGTTCATACTCTTCCGCAGCATATCTATCCCAGTCTGAGGGCTCCGGCCCATCGTTTTCAACATCCTGAACAAATCAGAAAAGGAAATGTCCTTACGGGTCTACAAACGAGTTTGGCAAAATCTTCTCCCCCCTCTATAACCACAAGCATTTCTGCAACTCTTGCTGTTGGGGTTTAAATTACAGATTGGTCGAGTTCTTTACGCAAAGGGCTGAATAGAAATTATATATTTCGTATTAGGCTTTAAAACTCAGATCCAGGTGGATCTGACAGCCACCGTGAACAATGGCATTCCAAAAATGTTTAGCAGGAATAACACTGCAAATCTGAACTTCTCTGGCAGGACATTCTGTAAGAGGAAGGGAACTCCCCCCGGGACTTGTTCTCAGATCAGTCCAGGCTTTAGAAAACACTGACACTACTTTGAATTGCTCCTACAACCAACCAGGCAGCTTCTTTGGAGCACAAGGGCAGTATGCTTAGAGCATTCTTCAACAGGCATGAGCTGGGCCAGGCCTTTCGCTCCGGATGAGCTTTTCAAGAAACATACGATGCTGGCCCCAGGTAGCAATTCAGCAGTGGGGCCTGGACAGCTCAAGGTCCTGGATCAATCTGGCACACTGGGTCTGTGCAGTGCTGGCAGAGGTGTCAGGGGCCATGTAAACACACAACAGGAGCCAATACAGATGGGAAGGAATGCAGAGTCTCTTACTGATAATGACGTACCCAAAACAGACACTTTCATTAGATAGAGGGGAACACCAGCTGTACAATAGTTCAAGTGACCTAAACTGTGCACAGCTACTCGGCTTGCCTTGGCATTTGGTGTGCACCTAGGGTGTGTGCAATGAGCTTATTGCTAGGACTGTCAAACAATTGAAAACATTGATTGAGATTTTAAAAAATAGCTGCAATAGATCAGTTTTAATTGCACTGTTACAAAATAACAGACTACCAATTTAAATGTATTTATAAATGTTGTTGGATAGTCCCCACACTTCCAATTACAGCACAGAGTACTAAAGGTGTACAATGATCACTTCATATAATTTTTATGAAGTAAAAAGGTAAACAAAAGAAACAGTATTTTTCATTCACCTCATACAAGCACTCTAGTGCAATTTCTGCATCACGAAAGGGCAGCTTACAAATGCAAAGTTAATATTTTTGTTATATAACTGCACTCAAAAAGAAAACAATGTAAAACCAGTCCTATTTCTTGTTCAGTCAATCACTAAGAAAAATAATCCCCCCCCCGCATTCCCCTTCTGTTCTGAAATGTGATTTGTCCTTTTCATATGTGTTCATTTTTTTAAATTGTATCCTTTGGTATATATGGTTGTGACTATTTTCTTCCACTATTTGATCTGAGGAAGTGGGTCTGGCCCACGAAAGCTCATCATCTAATAAACCATCTTGTTAGTCTTTAAAGTGCTACATAGTCCTGTATTTTGTTTAAGAAAAATAAGTTTGTTTATATTTGTAAGCCAGTACTGCCTGCTTATTTACAGTGTCACCTGAAAGAGTGAGCAGGCATTCCCACGGGAAAGCTGTACTATAAAGACAAAAAGTGAACTGTACATTTAGTATTCTGTTGTTGTAAATGAAATCAATACATTTGAAAATGCAGAAAAATATCCAAGAATATGTATAATTTAAAGTGGTATGTAATCATGACTTTTTTCCTTTCATTCATTTTACATTAATTGCTTGAGTTACCTGTGATTGACAAGCCTAATTCTTATAGTGCCAAATTTGGTGTCTGTGAATGACCAATGTGGGCCTGAGATACACGCCCCTGTCCTATCTTCACCCTAGAAACATCTTTTCTTACAATTTCTACTAGTGAGCTACAGCCTGACACTGTCAATTGAAACCCAACCCTTGTCAGAAATCTGAACATGAACGGCCTGGGCACACTGGTGCAATCTGCCCCGCAAAGGACTTTTTGGTGGGGGTGGGGTGAAGAGGGGAAATGCCCTCGGAATAGAGCAGAACCTTCAGAAGGGGCGGAGGCTGAGCATTCTCAAAGGACAAAGGGGAGGTGGAGCAATTAACGCAGTGAGGGGCCTGTCACTAGAGCCCAGCAACCCCCTCCCCCATACAATGGCAGAACAAACCATTGTACCCTGGGCCTTATACCCAAACACGGTCTGTGAACGAGCGACGTTTCCTCTCTGGTGCCAGAGAGCGGGTGCAGCGGATGGATTGCTCACTGAAAAGCTGCACCGGACAAGACCAACGTGTATTTTCAGAGCAGCTTCGTCCAGTTTCGCCTCCCACCCTCTTGCTATTGCTGCTGCTTGTCTCGCTACATACAACAAGCTAAACGTCACCCATACTAAGGTTTGGAGCAGCAATGTGTGGAGACCCTGCCTTGTACCTTCTGTATCGCAAAGGGATCCCGCTGTTCGTTGTCCAGGTACTTTTCTAAGTTAAAGAAGGTGTTGTAGAACACGTGAGCCATCCTGCAGCGCTTCAGGTCTCGCAGTGTCACCCTTCCTGCCGAAAGAGCACACGCTATTTTAGTGGCACATTCTTAATTAGTTGCACAACAGGCCTCAGGCAGCACAAGCCGTTTCTACGTTGGGATACCGCCTCCAGCAGGTGTTGGGTTTTCAAGCTGCCAATGCCCGTTTGTTACGTAAACAAACAGCGCCATCCGGCCTGGACCAAAGGCGAGCATCTCCTGCGACTGTTTCGCATTTGGCTTTGTCATGCCTGTCTAGTAGGGCCCATCTTGGGCTCTGCTGTACCCTTGCTCAGGGCCCAGCGCCTGTTAGCACTACACTCCACATTCTGCATGACCAGTGCAGAGATTGCCAGCATGTGCTGCAATGTCACGTCAATGGGTCCACTGTGGTTTTCTTGCCTCAGGCTGTTGTCTAATCGGGCCACTTTTGTATTTCTTGTGGGAGCCTCTCAGGTAGGCTCCGTAATGAGGCGTATTTGACGCATGTTCATGGACAGGCTACTGTTGTAAACAGCTCCTTACCAGGCTGGTACTGACATTTGCTGGCTTGGTTTCAGGATTACCCGCTGAAGGCCAGCTGGTGCTTTGCAGGCTGCTTTTTGTTTGTGTTTTGTGCTGGGGCTTTCTCTAGGTTTACTTTTTGCTCCTAAATACACTCATGAATCGCAGCCAAAAGAGTGGCCAGCATTGCTTTTCCATCTGAGTGCAGGACTGCGGTGTTTTAATCAGTGCTTTAGCAACATGTGTTGCTGGACAATCATCTTACAGCTGGCCATGAGCCAGGCTGCTCGCTGTCTGTGGCTTTTGCCTTGTTGTTTAGTGTAAGGCTTGTTCCTCCTGTTGTGTTGATTATTTGCACCTACACTCAGGAGATGCGTGTGATTACCTCATCCCAATCCCGCCGTTCCAGGACAAGGGGCTGAATAGTGGCTGTTTCAACTGTAAAGGTGATTTGAAGGTGCAGTTTTGCTGTGAACGTCCCAATACAGGCTATATTTTGATACCTACAAAAGAACTTTTTAATTAACCCTCCCCCTCCCATTGAGCAAGACTGAATCTAAACAGTATTTTAAATACTATTATCCATTATTTAATTGGTGGGGGTGGATTTTCCATCCTTCAATGAAGCTTAAATGTCTCTCGCTAAAAGAGGTAACAGCCAAGCTGAGCAAGACTTCAGGAGCCTGTTGTAGGAATGGCTATATGGGGTGAGATGCTGATAGATGTGTGTGGCTTTGTGCGTGTGTTTGTGTTTTCTTTGTGCGGTGCCCCAACCCCGTGCAGACAGCTGGCAGGGCCGACCTTGAGCAAACCACTTTATGACCACAAGATCCAAAGGCACCAGGCCGGATTTACTGTCAAACATGGACATTAGCAGCACCGGGCCGATTCTAGGAGGATGCTGAGACAGGTCTGCCCGCCCGTGCTAAAGGACACACCGTGGCGAATGGCAGGCCTTGTCGTTCCCCCTCGAATGAAAGAGCCTCCCTCTGACAGACCCCTTTATACCCTCATACAAACAAGTTCATGCTGCCCCTCTCATGTCACCTTAGGCATGGATGGTTCAATTTAAATATATTTAATTTGTACTGTTATTCCGAGCGTATCATTTAGGAAAGGTCAGTGTCTTGCTCTTTGGGAAATGTTTTCTGACCATCTTTGATTGGAGGATGTTTGGGTAGCTCTTGCTATCAGGATGTTTGGCTAAGTACTCTTTGGCTAGCACTTAAACACGTATATTTCTGCCCCATCAGCCCTGGTCTTGCCAGATTCTGAGAGCCGGTCCTGCAAGAGCTTAGTTCTCAGGCTCTTTTCCTACTACAGCTAGTGCAATCCAGCTGGCCAGAGCGGATTACGATAATGTGCCCTTCAGGCTGTAAAACCACTGCATGCCAGAATTTATGCCAGAGCTTGGATTCTAATGCTGTGCTAAACTTTCTGGTGGGGAGTGTTTTGGTCTGATGTTCTTGCTTGTCACTCAGGCCGAGGGTAGCACATCAGCTGAAGCAGGTTAACTCAGGTGCTAAGCCTGCCATTACTGCAGCAGGGTGGGGACCCTGAGAATGCCAGCTCACCCACTACAGGGTGAAACAGTGTCTTTTGACCTCCTGGGTGATGTTTTTATCCCTCCCCGAGCGGGGTTTTGCCCACAGGCACTTTGTGAGAGTTTTTATCTGGGCTAAGGAAAGGAAGAGAAGTGCTGTCCCTATGGGTGCTCAATGGTCCATGGCTGCATTCAGGAGACCATCTGCCACAGGAAGAGAAGGGCCCTTTTAAGCCCCCATTTCAGAGGGACAGACCAGAGAAGGAAGGGATTTTCTCTTTCCATACACCCAGACTAGCTAAAATGGGACTCAAGACTCCATCTTTGCATGTTACAAGGCTTCTAGCTGCACCCATAATGTTCCCTCTAATTTTTCCATCCACATGTGGAATAAATTTGATGTGCACCCCAAGTAGAAACACATGCTGCTAGCTGTGGGTGCTCTGCCAAGCAGCTGAGTCAAGCTGTACCAGTGACCATACAGCTGTATGGGCCAGATGCTCCTTATGCTCAGAGAACGCCAAAGATGGGGACGGTGCTTTCCTTGAGACCAGAGGGCTCTGAAAACAGAGACCAGGGCTGAGTGGGGTTGCTTGCTGAGACACAGTCTACAGGGTGGGTGGTAAATGCTTCTGGCAGAGCCAGAAGCAGCAGCAGCCTCAGTGGTACTGTGAAGCGGATGAGAGTCTGGGGTGGGCAAGAGGCTGTCAGCGAGCTAGATCAGCACAGGTCAGGGACAGGGACAGC